ATAGAAAATTGGTTGAAAAACGAAGAAAAATTTGCTTTTATTATAAATCCAAAGAAATCAATACAAAAAATAGTAGCAAAAAATATATATGATTGTTTCAGCAAAAGAAATAACAGCATTTGAATGAATATCTAGTTAATATAAAGAATAGAACCACCGTTATATTAAGATGTGCTTAAGTATTCCTCATCTACACATATTACATTTTCTTCTTTTTCTAAAAATTTGATATAACTTATGAAATATTGTAAATGTATTGTAAATTTATATTTGTGTATTTGTAATGTATTAATAATTATTAGCACTCAGTCTTAAATATTTGTAACAGATATATAGACGCTAATAATGTAAATAAACTAAACTAAACTAAAAACATGCATCGATCAAACCTCACCCCTCCTTTCTTCCTACTTTTAGCTTTCCTTCTTTGATTTTTATCCAATTTCCTTGCATCACATTTTATTTCAGTTAAAAGAGTCAGCCTTAGGACTTACCAAGAGGGACTATTTGGATCTAGACGAAGACAGTGAAAAGGTAAAATAAATGCTAGCTCTAGGACGTTTTGGCCACTCTCTCTTTTTTTTCTTTTTTCTTTTCCTTTTAAGAACTTCATTGGCCTTCAAAATTTCTCAGCAATAACAAACAATGATAGCAAACAAGCTAAAGATATAAATAATATGAATATGAATAATACAAGAAAGAAGGACCAAGAGGGTGGCCACGAATTGATAGTCAGCAAAAATGTTCTACGTTTGCTGATTCGTCAGATTCTCGTATGAAGTCATGGACTAAGATTGACATTTCAATAATGCATGTCTTCAGTGTAGGCTTCGCTTGGTCTTCAATTCCTGGTCAGTATGTAAACTCTAGGGTAAAAATGTCGGAGCTAAACGTTTATATATAAATAAATAATAAATAAATAGTGTTTATTACAATTCTTTAAACAAACGTTAAAGTGTAAAATATAATAAAGAAATATAAATACTACTGAACTATGTAATTAAACCCTAAGATTTCTCAATATAAAATACATTTATATAAGCTAGATATTCTAATCTTTATATAAAATTAGCAAAGAGGCACCTATTTATAAAACACTTTTTAATTGTCTGTGTGTGACACACTTGGAAGCATAAATAAATGGGTAAGGCCTATTCCTAGTATTACGTACTCTGTATAAGTATTTTGTTAGATTTAGTTAACTTCGTCATGATTGTGATTATGAGGCTAAATTCCTTTTAAAAACATCTTCAACGCGCTAAAAACGACTGATCAATTAGTGGAGACCGGATTCATTTACTTATACACATCCTACACTACATCCTTAACATCCCACTTTAGCGCAAGGAAAGTTCCACAAAGTTCCATTTGGTCTTGGTGTTCATGATGTTTCTTGGATCTTCTTTGTTGATTCCCACTGCCTCACTAATGTGCCTTAGCATATCCTCCCCTAGAAAAAGTCCTATATCATTACATGTGTAATCAGGCATGACTTCTTGATGTTTCTCTTTAGCATGCACTTTCATTCATAACACAGATTTCTCTTTGCCTCATTGCCTTCTCAAGTCGATCTCCCGTAAATTTTCTCTTCCTCAGTGCTCTTCTTTGAAGTTTATCTATTATGCATAAGTATTTAGAATAAGAATAAGTTTAAATAGTGAAGCCGGTAGATTGAACTACTAAAAAACAACCTTATTGTATATCCACGTTCATGTGAATATCAGTTTTCATCCTCTTTCCCAGAAACGCAAAGATTACAAAAACTACATGAAAGTTGTGAGCCAAATATTTAATGCGCCAAACACTAAAATGGAGGCAATATATGACTTCGAAGTAAGACTGGCAAAGGTATGTTTTTGTTTATAGGTATCACTATCAATGTTCATTTTTTTCATTAATATCATTTATCCTTTATCGCTTATGGCGTCATAAGTAGCTTTCATATTTTTCATCATCATATACACTGTTCATCATTATCAACGTGACCACCACCAACAACAACAACAACTTCATGCATCAGCATCAGCATCAGCATCAGCATCAGCATC